GCAAGCTCTTAACAATAGCATTCCTTTTTGAAGTTGAGGCAGAAAAGAAAAATCTCAGTCCATAAATGGCAGAGGTGCAAGAGAATTATTGGGACTTTTCAGTTTTAGAGCAGGAGAAGTCCATAAAAAGCCTTGATATTGATACTGTAATCCCAGAGATTTCAGTAGTTATTCCTAGTCAGATGTATTAACAGAGAGATAATATTGAGAGTTCTTAGTAATTTAGAGTGAAAATGTAACAGAGAGGTAGTTCTAAATTATGCCATTCAGATTTAAAACCATTTTTAAAGAAATCCATTGTGCACTGTGTGTGGTAATAAAAATGCCGCAGATTTTGAATCAATACATATTAATGTGTAGAGTGTTAGGCTGTAATAATTTTTAAAGCTCTACTTAATATTTCTTTCTTTATCCTCATTTACTTTGCTGAGTGAAATGGGGACCCCTATATTCTTAAAGAGGTGTGAGTAGAACATACCTTTACAGGCATTGATACAAGAACCAGTGTGGGTAAGAAAAAAACAGTTTTGTCAACAGGTGCATATTTGTCCCCATGAGCCTTGGCCAAAGTGAAAGCTGTGTCTGTTTTTTAGTGGTGTTTAACTGCTGACTGCACCCAGACACAGACTGCAACCCTCAGGTGATTTTCCATATTGAAAAGATGTGGCTAGTTGACAGTTTGCCCATCTCTGGATTAAATGTGGGATTGGTAGTAATTGTGTAACTGTGAGATCAGCTGTGAGTTAAAATTTGTGTTTACTTCTGATAAAACCTCCCAATCTGCACATAAATAGGGCCATTTATCAGTATTCAAACACCCTCCGATTGAGAGGGGGGAGGGTGCCTTGTTCTTGAAAAAGAGCATAAAGCAAAGCAGTCTTGGTGAGAATAACATCAGATGAATCCTTGCCACCCCTGGGGTGAACACCAGGTACTCTGGACCTTGTGGCTGTGGAACTTCGCACAGCAGAGAGAGGCTGGTGAAACATGCACAAATTTGCTTCCCAGCCTGGTTGTTTATCTTGTGTATTTTAAATGTTACGATTATCACTACAGGATTAGTAGAATCCATCAGATCTCTGAAAGGGCAGCTTCAAAGTTAGCTGAACCCCCATTGATGGAAGGGGTGAGGAATGCAGTGTGGGAAGCATCCATCAGGAGAAAAAAATGCCTTGGTAAAACAAGGATTTGTGAGAAGGAACTGCTTAGCAAACACTCAAGGTTGTGATGAATCCTGTTTGGATATTCAGATAAAAACTCCAAGCAGGAAAAAGCTGATACAGGAACTTGGAGCCTTCTAAGAGCTTGGCTTCAAAGCTCAGTTTCTTTACATCTCAGACCAGGTGGGTCAGTGCCAAGGATGGAGAAGCAGGTGGTGTTTGTCAGCTTTACTCCATGGACCACAGCTCCATTTCCTCTCCCCTTTCTGCTGCAGTCAAGAGTGTAAGACCAACCCTGTACTCATCCAAATCAGTAATCAGGCTTTAATATCTGATCTCAGGGCACTGTGGGAATTGCAGGTGTCCTGATCTTTTGGGGTGGATGGAATGGTGTGAGCCCTGCTGCTGAGCATTCTTGTCCATCTTGGAATACTAACTTTGAACTCAGTGTCAGCTTTGGTGTGTGGAAGTGGGTGTTAGGTGTTTCTAAATATGAAAACACAGTATACCCTTTAGAAAAGAAATCCATATATATTATTCATTTCTCCTAAGGGAATACTGGAATCTTTCTTTCAACTTTTAGCCACAGATACACAGTTTCTGGTTTAAGAGGCAGGATTTTCATGTTATGGATTTTTTTTTTCCTCCCACAGCCTCCCCAGCTGATGCCTTTTCCACTTATTAATTGGTATTCTGTCCTCAGTTGAGGGAAGGATGTGGGATAGCAAATTAATTATGTGGGGTTGAACTATGATTCAGGGCCATGTTTCTTGGACTGCTAAGCCTGTTTTGATGAGCATGAAAATCCAGAAACACCTAGCAGAGATTGTTTCCATCCTCTGGAGTAGATTTCCAGTGTGTAAAGGAAAGCAGTGGCTGTATGAGGAGTTTCCTGTTGGTGGGTTAGTGGTGGAGCTCTAAGAAATGTGATCCAGAATTGCCTTTTGGCTGTCCATTAATTATGCTGGGCAGCAGGACTGACATGGAACTTTAACTTTTCTGAGTCTTTTCAGTCTTCCATGCTTTTAAAAATTACTTTAGCATGATGGGGGACTTTGATAGTGCATTTTTTGTCTTTTCATTAGCATTGTTCATGGAATTAGTTTTAAGTGGGCAGTAGTCTTTGGGGAGCAAATGTCAGGAATTGCAGTCATGTAGGTGGCTGTGGGACAGTAATGTAACAAAAGTACCTGGATTAAACCCTTAATGCCACTAGAGAAAAGGAGATTTGCCCAGCTGCCTGTGAAGCCAAACAGTTTGTTAGGTGCGTATGCAAAAAAGGATTGGATTGAAAAAAAACAAAATGGGAGAAGGTTTTGTGACTTCAGCAGCAGCTCTGGTCAGTGCCACCTTGCAGGGATCTCTGAACAACCCTAGCAATGGCCCAGCAGAAAGGTAAACAGCTTAATGGAATTCATCAGGGTATTACTGGTAAGGCTCTGCAAGCATGAAAATAAGCAGAGAACTGAGGCAGGAGAACTTATATTAGCAGAGCAGAGAGAAAAAGCAAAGTCAACCCAACAAACATGTGAAAATAACCCCAGTGATGGGGTGGCACCCTGAAAACTGGGCTTAGGAAATAATCCAGGTGTGGTTAAAAGCAGTGTGAAGTGATAACAGGGAGCTGTGGCTGCAGAGACTTGGCATCGGGTCCCGGAGCAAATAAACCTGAGTTGTTGTCTTTGGGGCTTAGCTCAGCAGCAGAGAGAGGAGAAGCTGCTGGGTATGTGACCACATCCAAGGCTGGGGTGTTTGTGACTTACAGGATTTAATGCAAGGGTAGTGGATTTGGGAGTCAAGGCAATTGATCACTATTTGAGCGGAAAATACATTTTTTAATGTATTCCACTGATTTGTTTAGCATTTAAATATATTAGTTTACTGCACATTATACCATCTCTTTCATGCTTCTTTTTGTAAGCTTGCTTGATAATATGTTTAGGTGGTACCTCCTAAAAATTCAGGTATAATATAGCATATTTCACATTAGCAACTAAAATGCTTGTTTGGTGAAGTCATTGAAAATTATTTCCTTTTTTTCAGTTACCTACTAAAAATGAGGACATTCTTTCAAAGTCAGTGAGAGTTCACATGAGGAATCATAAAGATCCATTTTGAACCCCCCCTTGTACTCTATAACAATAGAAGAGCTACAAACTTTATTTTATTTTCTTCATTACTTATTATGTCCCCTTCAGAACCATTTCTTTATTATAGTCTATCATGTAAATATTATTTGGACTACTTTTAGAGTACACAGTACTATAAAACTCCAATTACTTACTTTGACAACTGTTATGTTAGTTATTAATATGCACTTTAAAGCTGAGAGTTCTCCTGCCTGTTTGGTCACGCTGTGGTTTGGTGGTGTTTGTTAAAAATTATATGGCTGCTCATACAGCATAAAAATGAATTTAAAAATTCCTCTGCTCAAGAGCATTAGGCAGTACAAGCTCCATAGGAGGCTTTTGGTGGCCAGTGTTTTTCATAATTGCCTGTTAAAGAGTTTCTTGCAATGTAGAAAGACATGTTAACAAAGAGGAGCATTGTTTGGGGTGGATATGCCAGATTCTTTAGGTCTGTACTCAAAATCACAGAGTAACCACTGGTGTTAGAAAGGACAATGTGTTTTGAGGAGGAGGAGGAGGAGGTGGTACTGGACTCATGTTCCCTAAACACCATAACCCATTTCCCAGCCTGACAACATTCCCTTTCCTTTATTTGCAAGCTTAGAGTTTCCATCAGGAAGTCTGTAAACTGTAGTAGGCCTTTGTTGTAATGTGTTTACCCTGGGAAAATATAATTATTTATAAAATATGTGGATATAAATAAATTTAAATACTGGATGTGGGAGTGTGAGGCTTTCTCAGTGGTAATGTAGACATACCTTCATGCACCATACCAGGTTAGATGGCACTGCTTCAGGAAAGGTTGTAAAAAGAAGAATAAAGAAAGGGTTGTATAAAACAATTTAGTATTTCTGAGGGAGACTCTAAAATTTTCCATAGCTGTGTGGTACATTTTTATTAATAGGCTGTAATGTACCTTTCATCATCATTCAGCTGTAACTGAGGGAGGCTTTTAGAGCACAGCTGTGACATTTCCACAATCCTGACAACAGTTAATCTATGTCCTGGGCTTACCGGGCAATGGTTTCAGCACCATTGTACTCTGCAGTTGTCATGCTGTGGTTTTACCCATCTTTTCAGCAACTCTGCGGCCACTGTTGGAGGGATGTTAAATGCTCTGAGTGTGTTCATGTTGGCAAGTTGTTGGTATGCTGTGAAAATGCCCAATTGAAGGTACTGGTATGAGTTTTTCTCTGGAGGGAGCCTGATTTCTCCATTGCCTGTGTAGGTGATCTCCCCATCTTGCCTGTGGAGTTCACTCTCACTTCCTCCATGCTCAGGAAGGCGCTTTGTGTTTCTATTCTGGGAATTTTTCATGGGCTTGTTTTCCCCTGAATGCAGGAGCCCATGAGTTGATTTGGGTGGAACCAAAGCCAGCACAGGCAGATCTCTCACAGGAACCTGCAGATACCTGTGCCCTCATTTTGCCATTGCAGATTTGCATTTGCCATCAAAGTGCATGTTGTGTTTCCTTGTCCACACGACTCCTCACATGTGCATGGGGGTTTGTAAGCAAAAATGGAATTGGCATCATGATGAAAAACAAGCAAATTCCTACCATGTGTCAATGTGTTTGCCCTGACTTCCCATCTGGGCTGGAATTCATAAGGCAGTTAATGAGCTTTCCACGTGACTGTGTTTTATGTACCCAAGCATTCTTTGATCTCTCACCCCTAGCTGTGGAAGTAAAGTCTCTGATTCTGATTGCCAGAACCCCCCTGATTGCTGCTGGAGTCATTGGTGGCCTCTTCATCATCGTCATCATGGGCCTGACGTTCGCCGTGTACGTGCGGCGCAAGAGCATCAAGAAGAAGAGAGCCTTGAGAAGGTTCCTGGAGACTGAGGTGAGCCTGGGCTGCTCCTCACAGGCTGTCTGGGGAGCTTTTCAGGGCTGCTCTGCTTTTATATTAGAGATGTTTAGGTCTTCCCTTAGCTGTAGAATTCCTTCTGCTTGCTTGTGCAGACTAAACTGGTAAAAAGAATGAAATTGTTTCAAGGTGTTGGTTTTCTTCACAAGTACAGATTCATGGCTTCTGAAGACCAGGAAAAGTTTCCTACCTGATTTCTCAACTCCCATCCTGCTCTCCACTGAACTTCTATCCCAGTTCATCAGTACATTTAGCAGCTCTCATGCTTAACTATTATTACAGGGTTTCATTCTGGCCATATTTAGGTTGACTTTTAAGGCTAAAGTAAGTTCCTTCGGCAAGTTCTGGTACAAACTTTGTGCTTAAAGGCAGATATTGTAACTTGTTGTTGTTCCAAGTGCCTAAATACCTTTTAGTCCAAATTTTATCAAAATCTGCAGTCAAATTTTATCAAAATCTGGACTACAGATTTTGTAGTTTCAGATTTTGTAGTGCAGATTTTGTCAAAGCCTGTAATAATGATCAGTAACAATAATGTGTTTTATTAAGCCAAGATACTCCACAGAGCTTAACCAATTGAAGTTCACAGTTCTACTAGCAAAAGCATGTAGCCGAGCTATAGCAGAGTGCTGTGGTGGCTCCATCCTGCTCTTTGAAGTGTCTTTAGTGAAGGGGGAAATCCAGGAAGTATATTTAAATATAACATTAAATGTATATCTATCAGCTACTGCAGTGGTGATTACTGCAATCTCCTCAGTCCAATATTTGAGACACTTTGCAAATGATGGTGTTTTTAAATTAGGGTGCCCCTTTGTGAGATAATAAAGCTTGGAAATGCTGTTAGCTAGCGACTCTTTGATAAGGCATTATTAACAGTGCCGTTTTCACTTCTGTTCCAAGGGTTCTGCTCCCACTCAACTCCACTGTAGAGCCTGGGAGTAAATGATTTATACATCCCCAGTTTGTCTGCACAAGTATCTCCATGTTTGGTTAGAATTTGTGTTGCTTGTTAAGTACTGTTCAGCTATATAGAAAGCTTAACAATACTCAGTGCCTTGAGATTAATAAATCTTGCCACTGTATGAGCCCATACTTAAGCATAAATTATTTTAAACAGGTGGTTCTCCTAGCATTGGCTTTGATGTCCAGATTTCATCTTTCATTTGGTCAGATAAAAGCTGTGGCTGACAGTAGTCCTGAGGGACCAGGGCCTCCTACTGAAGATTTAATCAGGAGCATCCTGAAATAAACACACAAGCAATTAGCTTTAGTTGAAGTCTCTCTTTCTAATTGGGGGCTGTAACAGGACTTACTCTTCCTGTAGATCATTCTCCATCAAACCCTACAAGCCTGGTTTTAGATCCCCACAACACATCCCCACCTCTCCCTGCCATTCCTGTGTTGGTGGACTGTGGGACAGAACCTCTCTTCATCCTTCACAAACTGAAAATACAGAAGTGTGCTGCCAGTATGCCTAATTTTCTTTTACAGTAAACCTTTCTTTCAGGGTATAGATACTGAACATCTAAAGTGGGAAGGAGGAAAGAAATCACTCAACTTGTTACTCTTTGGTTTTGTTATCTTTCCTTACTTGTTAATTGCCAGGTACTGATATTTCTACCTGAACAAAACTAATTAGTTTGGTCAACTAATTAAATAGTTCATGGTGCCCAAAGAGCTATAGAAGTAGATCTCAAACTGCAGAGCATGGTGCATTTAGCCTTGTAAACAGGCTTTGAAGTGCTGCATTGTTTTCAAACCAGTTTGAGTAGGAGAAGCTCTGAATTATTTTCCTCATCCTGTGAAGGTACAAAATGTTTTTCATGTGTTGTATTGAGTATTGTGCTCTACGTGTATTTTTAATTTAGTTTTAAAGAAGCATTTCTTTTCTGGCAGAGATGGTATGAGATCTAAGAGCATTTTTAACTGAATGTGCCATTGTGGCTCATTTACAAAGTTTCTTGGGACATCTTGAGCAAATTGTTTAATTGCAGTAAATTAGCGGCTGTTATAAATTAGTTGTCTGCTCTAAGGTGTTTTCTCCCTAAAGCTGTCTTCCTGTGTGGTAAAACAGAAGTTCAGAAAAATCATCCCTTCTTCAAAACAGAATAAGAATGTGATGAGCCGTTTAGTCCAGGCCATTAAAAAGAAATATGGCCAACTTAAAAGACACTAAAATGGGCAAAAATGGGATGTGGCACACTGATAATAAATGCTATATTTCTATCATGTAGAAAATATTTATACGGCCTCCATTATCAAAAGTCCTTGGATGTGTTACTCTGACACCAATTCAATTTGCAGTTCATAATTCCATCATGCAGTTTCTGGTGGAAATTACTGCGTTTGAGTGAGGACTTGCTTTATCAGGTCTTGTTGTATTGCACTACCACACACGGTTCTTACAAGGTTCTCTTGGTTTTGTGGCATTGCTTGTTTGCTTTCAAAGATGAAAAATCCCTCCAAGATTTAGCAGGGCAGGGGTCAATAGATCTCCACCACTGTCTTATCCCAGAATTTTCTTGGGTTTGTTGCTCTCAGTATAAACTTCTGATGGGTCTCCATGTTGAGCGGTGTTTGGTTTTCCTTGCAGCTGGTGGAGCCCTTGACCCCGAGCGGCACAGCGCCCAACCAAGCCCAACTCCGCATCCTGAAGGAGACAGAGCTAAAGAGAGTCAAGGTCCTGGGCTCTGGAGCCTTTGGAACAGTGTACAAGGTGAGAGCCTTCCCCACACAGCCCTGAGTGCCCTCTTTTACCTCTGGAGCAGGCAACTTCTGCATTGCAACAGAGCAGCCTGTCCCAGGGGTGCTTCCTGAGCCCTGGAATTGTGTGCAAGGAACTCATCTATTGTATTAGCAGGGAAATGTCCTGACAAAGGCAGGAGTGATGCATCTGACTCCATGTTCTCAGAAGGCTAATTTATTACTTCATTATACTATATTATATTAAAGAATACTGTACTATACTGAAGAATACAGAAAGGATGATTACTCAATGCTGAAAGATAATAATGAAAACTCGTGACTCTTTCCAGAGTCCTGACACAGCTTGGCCCTGATTGGCCAAAGAGTAAAAACAGCTCACGGCAGAATCCAATGAAACAATCACCTGTGGGTAAACAATCCCCAAACACATTCCACATGAGCACAACACAGGAGAAGCAAATGAGATAAGAACTGTTTTCCTTTTCTCTGGGGCTTCTCATTTTCCCAGGTGAAAAATCCTGGGTGAAGGAATTTTCCAGAGAATGTGAATCAGCCTTTGCTCATCCTCAGCATCAAATGGTGACATGCAAGTATTATTTCTTGGTGAGCAAAGACATGTCAGCCTCAGTCATTTTTATGCGCAAAAGGGCTACAAAGGCTGGACTGTCCTGCTGGCAAAGTGCAGCACCAAGGTTTGCCCTTCTGTCCTTACCTAAGAGCGTCTTTTATCATATTCCATCTTTTGGAAACATGGATAAATGCTGTCTTTCATTTCACAAGTGTCACCTGGGTCTTGCAACAGCAATAATACCTAGTAAAAACAATGCCATTACCTAAACTGTAGCACTTCTTGTTTCTTCCATTTAAACAGAAAAGATGATTTCTATCAGGGCACCCTTTAACAGCTGGGATGTGAGAGTGGAACCCACAATGGAAAAAGTACTTCAATTAAGGAAGTATTTATTTTTTAAGATCTGTTGGTCATGTCCAGATCTCAGAGGGATGAAGTAGGGCTTTAGGGGGCAAGTCAAAGCAATTCCCCAACCCTCTGAGAGCAGCCCAAGCCTGCCAAATCATGGTGATAAGTCAGAGCATCTGCATCTGTCCTCAAAGAGGGGAGAAAAGTAAGGAAGCACAGAGCAGGTGGCTATAGCTGCAAGGTGATGAAAATAGATTTATATACTTAGATGATAATAAAGTCATAGAGATGGATGCCATGAGGTTGACAAAAACACAGCAGTAGTCAAGAGTGAAGGAAAAGTAGCCCAAAACAGTTTGTGAATTAAATTTAAATTTTCTTTTTAGCCACCTAAGTTTTTGATCCTCAGGTATTAATTAATTAGACAAACAGCCCATACATTTTTCACTCTAAATATATTATTCTCAGGGTGTTCTGTTCCTTCATGATGTTATGATCTGGTGATAATTGGTTTTGAGAGTTTACTGATAGCTTCAAATTTGGGCATCAGAATCCAGACAGAAAATGCAAATTTTTGTTTAATTATATCCAAACCAGTATCAGAATTTTCTCAGTCACTAGAAAATGTGCATCATGCCATGCTGCCATTGCTCTTTAGAAACTCTGTTGTGGACAAGAAAATCAAGGATGTTCACTGATACAAAACATTTCATTTTATATCAGAGTTTAGTTTTGATGTAAGAGGTAGATTTTACAGAATATTTTTATTTTGTAATTTTGTGCATTTTCCGTTCTGAGTTCCATAACTGATCTGCATAACATGACAGAATGTGTCAAAAAGAACTGTAACTCTGAATCAAGTTTTTCTGATTGTTGTCTAATTAGTTGTCTTTTTTTCTTTTTCTAGGGAATCTGGGTCCCTGAGGGAGAAACAGTAAAGATTCCTGTGGCCATTAAGATCCTTAATGAGACCACTGGTCCAAAAGCCAACGTGGAATTTATGGATGTAAGTAAGGCACAAGCAGTATTTCTGGGTTTTGACAGGGGTGGTGTCTTTCTGTAGCCCACAGAGGTTGCAAAGATAAATTCCTGTCAGTTTTCTTTCTTTATATTTAATTGTACACAATGCCTGGCAGGGCTGGGTTTTCCACTGCACGTACCCCAAGATACTTGGAGTTTTCTAATACTTTAGTATAAGACTGAAAGTCCTCTGTCTCATGGGCCAGATATTGTATCTTTCTGTGGCAGAAAAGCCGTGGAAGAGAGAGGATGAGTTGCAGGGGGTGATCTTACCATGCATGCAGGTCTGTATTGGTGTAGAACTCCCAGGCACAGAAATTCAGCTCAGTTTTCCCCCACTTTGGTTTTCCAAGAATGTGGGAGCTGGCAGCAGCAGCAAAGCATAACAGGGAGAAGGGGAAAATTAAAATATGCCAGATTTAAAAGTCCTTTTGCTTTATTAATCTGAAATACCATGGATGAGCAGTCAAGATGGTAATTTCCATGAATGTTCTATGATCACAGAGGCTTTGCACTCAGTTTTCAGCTCTGTGTCAAGATCAAGGCTTACTGACACCATGAATCTTTATGTCTTATTCAGTGACAATTTTTTGACAAGTCATAGAAATTTGCACTCTTTTTGTAGGTCCCTCTTGTGAACTTAAAAATTGTATGTGACTTTTAAGTCTTGCTGATCTGTTCAGCGTGTAGGCCTAATTTGTTAGCATTAATGAGACTGTAAGCCACAAGGAGAAGGTACTCCCATTATTATATAGTCTATTCTTCCACCTGGAAGTGAACAGAAATGTGCAGTTATGGATTTTTGTGTTCCAGACAGCTGTTTCATGTCTGAGTTCTCAGGCAGTTGAAGGAAGGCTGTGCAGAGGGAGGGATTTCCTGTGTTTTTTGCAGAGCACTGCACATTTATGTTGGTTAGATCATTTCCAACCTTGATGATTCTATCATTCTGTGGTTCTGTTGCAGTAATCATTTTGCACAAATAATAAATAAAAAAGGCAGTTTTGGCACCGTTTAAAAGGAATTATTTGCACTAAAGAGATAACAAGAATTATGTATTTTTTGCTTAATGGACAAAGAATCTTGTTAATAATAGAGCTGCTCAAAAAGAAGAGGTGAACTGGATGTCAGTGGTCAGTCAGTGATGCAGACTCCAGCCTAAAGGTATTGTTATCACTGTATGGAACTGAGCAATTTGTACCAGCTCAGGATCTGACCCCTGATCTGACAGAGAAATAGCAGTAATATCTCCTCCTCTGATACTGATTAACCTTGAAGCAAAGAAAACATAAGGTCCTTGGTAGAAGGCAGAGTTGCTTGTGTGAGGTTTCACAGCTCAGCTTAGGTCAGTTTAGTTCACTGGACCATTCTTGCCCCCAGTGTTTGCATCTGAACATCTCCTAAATGGCTCAGAAATGAAGAGACTTTTGGGAACTCTGGAGATTTTTGGTTGTACAGTTACAATAGGAAAGGTTTCTCTCGAAATTAATAGTTTCTCCTGAGTCTCTGACCCAGTGACTGCAAGATGAGAGAAAAGTTAAAGTTGTTTTGAGTTCTTGAGGTTAAAAATAACTTTTAAGTTGTTTTTAATCATCATAAAAAAGAATTAGACTTCATCATTAGTTGATACAAGTGGCAATAAGGAGAAATAATATGTTTTCTATCAGTGCTGCTTTTGATATATGTGCAGTGATTTGTAATTCTTTTCTGTACTGCATTGATGAAGGTGATTAAATTTCATTCTTGTGAAATAATTGCTCATCCAATTATACAGAGGTTCTTGCCATCCTTACCTCCTAAACCAGTTGTTTAGTTCATGAAACAATACATTTCAAAGAGAATGACTTAAGCATTATTTATTGTTTTAATGCAACTACTCCTCCCTGTCCCAAAAAAGACATAGTTTTAAACATTTAAAAAATTTAAGCTAAAATTTAAATTATGAGGACATAACCTAAATATCTTTCACTGAAATGTAAGTTGGAGTAAAAAAATGTGGTTTACTCATTGTCACTTCAAGACTGTAGTCAGTATAGCTATCCTGATAAAACTGGATACTGTTTGCTCATTTTATGAGGAAATATTCAAATGTACATCTGAAAGCAGAATGCATCAGTTGTACTTCAGTAAAAAGATTGTTGTTGGTTAAAAGCATTTGTGTCATATTTTGAAAGGTATATAGGTGGCTAAAAGCCACTGTGAGCAAGGTGGGGTTAATTCTTTCTTAAAAAGGGTCTGCCAGTGTTGGTAGTGAATGGGAAGAGGAGGTTAGTGGGAAGGCGTCATTACATGAATCACACCCTTGGCTTTGTAGGTGTGCTTTTGCCAGCAGTTACTGCTTCCTGGGTTGGGAAAGGCCTTGTACCTGTAAGTAAAAGTTAGCATTCCTCTTGGAAAGGCTCTGGAAAATGGAAAACCTTTGGGAAGCAGCAGTTTGTGTGCAGAGGCATTACTTGGGACACTTCAGTGTCCACAGAAGTGGCTCCTGTGGATGTTAGTGGCACTGCCCGTCCCACAGACCTGGTGAAAACTTCTAGTGCTGGAAGAATGTGAGTCTAAAAGGGCTCTGTGAGCTCCTGAAATTCTGCTGAACATTATGCTGAAGGAGTAAAGCAAAACAATTTCACTCCTGGGCTGTCATTTCAGCAGCCTGCAGCCCTGCTAATGGAGCAGTAATGACTGTAAGGATATAATATCTGATGGCAGCTCTGCTGCTCTGGCCAAGCACCTCCCATCAGGAGATGATGAATTGGCCATCATCCAAAAGCACAGCCCTTATTTTGGATTTTTCTTGAGGGAGCCACAGCAGAGTTTATTTTCCAGGCTTTCTCCACCCATTCCCAGGTAGCCCTTTTCCTTTGCTCCCTGTGTTTGTCCCTGGATTTATCACTACAGTAGGTCTGTGTCTGCTACAGCAATACAAGAATCTGCTAAGTAGCCTGGACCAGGGCAGAGCCAGACTGGATTTATTTTCACCACACACAGGTTGACATTACTGTTTTGTCAAATACAGGTTTTCCCTATTTCCCCACATGCTTCTGGGTGTGTATTGTGTCTGGGATAATGTCTGAAGGATTTTCCCTTCAGCATGGTTATGTGCTTAAGTTGCAGGGCAGAGTTTCTGCTCTGGCTGGTCCCCAAAAGGGGCTGGAGTTTGAATTCAGAGTGCAAGAATTCTGCCTGCAGCTGTGTCTGGCAGGGAGTCACCAGCAAGAGCCAGGGGCATCAGGAGGGAGCTCAGTCCTGCTCCTCACCCTAAGGCTGAGAACAGAATTTATCATGGTCCTGAGTTTTGTGGAGGAAAGAGATTCTTGTGGTGAGGAAAACAGCCAGATGTGAAGCTGAGAGGCTGCTTAATAGCAGAACAGGAACTTACAATTTCACTTGGGAAAACAATTTCACCTCCTCAGCCTCAATTTGTTTGACTGTTATGATTGTCTGATAAGTAACCATTGGCCTGGTCAGATGGTTTAATATCAGCCCAGATACTCACCTGACAATTTAATAAATTCTAGGAACATGCTGTAGTTGGAAAGCACAGCAGACAGCCTTTGAGGCTGAAAACGTGTCCTTAAAAAACTTGTCTTGGGGAATCAGCCAGTTGGTGAGGGCCTTTCCTCTACGCTTGATGTTTCCAGGATGTAATCCTATGAGCTGTGGTTGTGTCCAGGATTTTGATCCACTTACAAGTTTAATCTATCCTCCCTGAGTTTAAATGCTCCATTATCTGTTAGAATATAATTAGAGGCTGCAAGCACAAGTCAGCATCCACAGAGTTCCTTGGGAGTCCCTGAGCTCATTGAGATGAAGACAGCTTGACTGATGGTGGTCAGCTGATATTGGGCCAGAAGCTAATAATAGAAGGCAGTGCTGCTTAGCTGGGTGAGAAAGTTAACTTGGGAAAAATTAAACTGAAGGCTTTGGGATTTATGGTTGGAAATAAATTTCCCATTCTCATTTGTTTCCTAGTAAGAGAGCTTCAGAGGCAGTTGGTTTCTTTTATGGTTTTATAATTAAGATCTAGAGGCTTCCTGGCTTGGTCTGTTCTCGCTGCAGTGGCAGCACTTGGAGTGTGGGAGGACATTTGTCACACCAAGTGCAGAGGTGGTAAGTGACAGTGACCTCCACCAGACATGTAGCAAGCAAATTAAAGCTGCATGTAGGGGACTGACACCCACATCTTTTATTTATGTCTGGCCTAATGAACTAAATGAATAAATCACTCAGATGTGCTGCAGAAACAGCTTTTTCTAAATTGTATGCCTGTCTTACAGTAAAGACAAGCCCTCAGCTTGAGGATATCAATATCAAACTTATCTTCAGTTCAGAGGATTGAAGATAAAAAAAATGATGTAGCTGACTAGAGAATTCTTTCTCCTGTTCAGCTGAAACCCCACAGAGATACTATGGATAAGCTTGCTTTGTTTCCTCAAGTATGTCTAGATGGAAAGTATAGCTAGCTAGTCAGGTGAAGAAGGAGAGAGAAGACTTCACTTTTCTTGGTTTCCACTGATGGCTTCAGATATGGGAAGGTTCTAGGCTGAAGCTTTTTGGTTCTTTGCTTGGCCCACGGTGACATTCATAGATTCCTTGAGGCTACAGACACACTCTGATACACAATTCCTCAGCTGATACAGCTGCATTTGCCCTCAGCTTCTTTGTAAGATCCTGCCTTATGTGACTATGAGGGTGACTGGTTAAAAAAATTTTTAGTATTTCAAAAATTAAATATAGCTACATATCTTTTAGTATTAGTATATAGTAATATAAGTTAAATATTTTTTAGTATTCTGTGTACACATCATGCTCCTGCCCAGGCCAGTGTTTGATCCAGGTCTTCAGCAGACCATGTAGATGCTCCTGAAAGTCTGAAAAGACGTTGCTGCTAGCAGTAGTTGTATTCAGACATTCCACTGCCTGGCTGCTTGGGAAATACACCAGAGTTAATCCTGAATCTCATTGAAAGGGCAGGTTTAGGATCAAAGGAAA